CTTGTGTTCCTGACCCAACAAAAAGGAGATTAGATGGTGGTATTAGTCTCCTGTAAATCTTCCCTCTGTTTTCTTCTCCTTGGTCCCCATCTTTCACAGAAAGCACATTCATATTCAAATGAATTATCAGGCTGCAGGCTGACATTCCCTATCTAAAAACAAATACTCCGTGATTGGAGGACAACAGAAACAATGTGTTCCTCCCAATGGATGATTAAAAGAAACATCATCTAGGGATTTTTCCAATCTGCATGTTAAATTAAATCAGTTCCCCACACCCCTTTCTACAAGTTTCCAAGATCCATATCCAGTCCAATTCCAGAAATATTCCTCAGATCTGGAAATGTGACTCTGAAGGAAGTCAAAAGAACAATATATACACAGCTGGAAATGATCATGTTGGGAATTCTTCTGGATACAACTCTGTGTATCCTGCTCTGCTGTGGATACTTTTCTAAGAGTTTACCTTAACTAATAATAGCTAAGGTATTATTATTAGCTAATAATACCTTAGCTAACAATTCATGGCAGGGCTGCCTCTGTGCAAACTGTTTTTGTTGAGATGGGCATTCAGTAGAAAGCTGCCCACTGCTTGCTTGTATTAAACTTAAAAAAAAAAAAAGTTAATTTTAGGGGGTAAGATTAGGACTTTGGTATTTGATTGCAATCTGTGATTTTACTCCACAAAGTGCTTAGAGATACAGGCAGTAGATAAGCTTTTTAAATAAATAAATCCCTGCATGTCTCACTCTGTTCCTTTTCTTCTTCAAAAATGTACCAGTACCTTCTTGTCCCTTTGCTGCCCCAGAAGCTGTATGCCTTGGTCCCTTTTCTGTGCTAACCAGTTGAAAAATCTCTGTTGCATGACCAAGGCTTCAGAATCAGTCAACAGTCTTCCCTGTGATGACTGGTCCATTTGTGTGTAAATGTAGTTGATCAAACTCTCCGTTTTATGTAGTTCATTAAATTTCTGCAAGGCCTAAAGAGAAAAATCAATGTTTTTCTCAGCAGTGTCTCATGGAAGCAATATTTTTCTTCCTGGCCCTATTTCCTCCCCCTCCTTTTTGCTGAACAGGAAGCAGCTGAGGGGAGAAAACCTGCAAGGGCCCCCAAGCATTCAACATTTGGAAGCAGGGGTTGATTATACGCTATCACTAGAATCAGAGGCAGCATAGGTCTGACAATTGCTGGTAAAAATAGCAGGAGAAGGCGCTGGCTGTCTTCTCTCAGCCAGGGCAATCAGGTTGGCCATTCAGAAACTTTTGGAATGGATACCGTCGTTGTATGGATTGTATGATCTGATGTTGCACACCCAACGCATGTCTCATTTCAATGTGTGAGCCTAGAAGGAGGTTTAGAACGATCAGATTCAGAAAAGTACTGGGGGTTCTGTGCCATTTCATCTTGGTCTGGCGGAAGAAAAGTGGGTCGTCTGAGCGTCATGGTTCAGGGGTTTCAGCCGGCCACACTATCTTTCAGAATAGTCAGTTTCCTCCCCGCTGCCTCCATAACCCTCCACCAGCATTCCTTGGCCTCTCAATACACTTACCTTCAGCGTTCTCTTTTATGCATGTTTGAGGACCTGCATTGATTACAATGCTTTGGGGGCAGGGGGAGAGCTCTGGAAAGATGAGGGGTCTCCTCTGGGTCATGAATTACGCTGGTTTGGCTATACCAAACGGAAGGCAAGTCTCAGTTTGTTAATAGCATAGAGCAGTGTTGTCCAAACTTGGCCACTTTAAGATGAGTGGACTTCAACTCCCAGAATTCCCCAGCCAGCATGTTGAAGTCCACTCCCAGAATTCCCCAGCCAGCATGTTGAAGTCCACTCCCAGAATTCCCCAGCCAGCATGTTGAAGTCCACTCCCAGAATTCCCCAGCCAGCATGTTGAAGTCCACTCCCAGAATTCCCCAGCCAGCATGTTGAAGTCCATTCTGGGAGTTGAAGTCCACTCATCTTAAAGTGGCCAAGTTTGGACAACACTGGCATAGAGCAATCTTCCCCAAACAGAAGGCCTCTGTATGAAATAAGGGATGGTACTTACTTCAGAAGCCACGTGCTCCATTAGCACAAAGGGAAGATCCCATTTCACTGCATTCTCCCTTTTTATTTCCTCTCTCCATCCTACATTTTTTCTTCCAACCAAAGCTTCCCAGGGTCATTAGGAACTTCAGGCAGGTAAGTTCGGAGGAACTTCTTCCTTTATAACCCAGCAGGCTTTTTAAAAACAAGCAAACAAAATAAAAAAAATCAACCTTCCTCAGCCATCTATGGCTGCAGGAATTTAAGGGGCAGAACTGGGGTGTCGATGGAGATGGAAGACATTACAGAGAGAGGAAAAATAAATGAATTTCCCACTGTTAGTTGATGAAGTGAGATCGTATTGAACTAAGCCTCAGTGTAAACTTTATTAAAGGTCACACTAATGAATGGCTTAATTCTAGAATTATAAATTAACTCATGGGGTTTTTGCTTTGTGAACAACTGTGCTTTTCTGGAACTAACTATCCTCGAAGACACACAGGCCCAGGAGAGAGAAAACAGGTTGCGCTCAGAGGGCAACATTGCCATCTGCCGATCAAAGACATTCATTGCATCTCCAAACTACTCTATCGACATATTTCTTCTGTATCCAGGTGGAGAAATACAGGGTGGAAAGTATCACTAAGATTCCCAGGGGTGAAAACTGTGTGTTTATTTAACTGTGGTTCTGGGTGTTTAGCTGCTCTAGTCATTCCCTTTTAGCAAATTTTAAGCATGTACGTGATGGGGGGCCAGTCTCAGCCTACCCTGGACCCACCCATTTTGCTCTGTGTGTGTGTGTGTGAGAGAGGGAGAGAGAGAGAGAGTTCAAGTTAGTGCTGAATCCTGACTGCCTAGACTAGTCCCTGCAGTTTTCTTGGCAAGGTTTTTTGGAAGTGGTTTGCCATTGCCTCCTTTCTAGGGCTGAGAGAGAGGGACTGGCCCAAGGTCACCCAGCTGGCTTGAGGCCTAAGGAAGGACTAGAACTCAGAGTGTCTCCATTTCTAGCCTGGTGCCTTCACCACTACACCAAACTGGCTCTGTTTTGCTCGCTTTAGGACTAGATAAAGCAGTCCTAAAGTCCCAGCCGATTCCCTTGAGACACAGAAACCCACGACTTTTGCCAACATCTTCTCCCTATCAGTAAACTTATAAAAATAATACAGCTTGCAAATCCTTCAAAAGAGGTGTTTCAAAACACACAGAAGTGTGTATAAAGCACTTTTTTTAATTGTTAAAAGCAGTTCTCTTTGGCCCAGACTTGTGTGGCTGCTTCAAAACCTCCTCCTGGCTGAGTCCACACCTTTATGGACACAGCTATTTTTCTTGAAGCGGCTTGGGTGGACATTGCAGCTTATAACACAAGCGTGAAAACCTGAAAAAAGCAGTTGCTTTAATGAGGAGGAAAAAAAAGGATGTTTTCTATGTACCCCCATGTATCCTAAAGCAGCCTTTTGGAAGAATTTGCACAGCTCTAAAATTAATGCATGAAATGGTTATTGTACATCTGAACTATTGAGGATTGCATAAACTGACACTCAGTCCCTGAAAAATAACAGTGTGATGTAGATTTTGCCACCTCTACCTGGCCTGGATTTAATACTTTACGATACCCATCTACATCGATAGATATTACTAGTTGCTGCTCTTCTTTTCCCAGACAGAAAAGCCTGCGATACCTTAATTTATTACATTAAATAGCTGCACCAAAAGCTTTCCAGCATATCTACAGAAACTGCTGTAGGGAAGAATTTCACCCTCATTTGCCAAGGCTTTAAAAGAAAGACACGTTAGAAGTCAAGCAACAATCAGTACTGTATTATAGATTTAGATTTGCGATTAGTTTGGGCATTCCAAAACAGTAATTCCATTAGAAGCTTCAGTCTGCGGAGGGAAAGAGGAAATGTGAAGGCTATAGAGAGTCGATCAATATCTTGGGGAGATAAAAGGCAACTAAGAAATTGCCCAATAAGTATTCAAGTCTCATGCTAGCCCACCTTCCTGAAAGAAGGGTAATTAAAGCCATATTCTAATTAACACAGACTTTGCCCCCAATCAGAGGCATCCTTTGCAGAAAAACTAATGAGGCTGGGAGAATAGGCTGTTGCTTACAGATCCATCTATTGAATTAAAGTGAAAGCAGCCTTTAAAGCATAGTAGTATTAAAAACAAGCAAACAAAGAGAAGGACAGCTTCTCCTAATAGTTGAATGCAAAATACTTTGGAACACTCTTCTTCTTCCTCCAGTGAGCACTGACGCCCTGCAGAATAACATGGCCCCAGAGATTTGTGTGCTACCCCCTTCCTGATCTTCTTTAAAGAAGCTCTTAAAACTTGGTCCTTCCCACAGGCCTTGGGCCACACTAGATGGCAGATCCCTTGTGGGATGGTTGGTGTGTTAGAATTTGTGTCTCTTTTTCCCCTAGATGTTTGCTTTTTGCAAGTTGCATTGTTTGCATTCATTGTTTGAATTGTTTTATAGAGTACACTGCCCAGAGTTGCAATGGAGTTGGCCTTTACATTTAATAAATAAATAGCTTCTTACACCAGCACAGAGCCAAGCCACCCTTACTATCCAGGATTAAGTTTTTAAATCCTGACAGCAGCTTTGACTCAGAACATTCATCAGAGAAGTAGCATGCCAATTTCAGACATTCCTTGTTTATTGCATATCCAGTACAATTCAATTCCAAGAGCAAAGAGCTGTTGGTGATTTTATCATCTCCATGTTCCTTGTCTATAAATCTTTATATGGACAAGAGATGGAAAAAGGAAGTCCACAGGTGGTCCTCCCATGGTGAGGTAAGACCATGTTCTATTGTGAGAAGACTTTGTTGTTCCCACAATAGGCTGAACAGGAACCCAGGGGTCTTGATTCATTCCACAGATTGGTGCCTAAACACAATTTACTAAACTTTAGATTGAGATTCCTAGTGGCTGACTTCTTCAACTCACCATCTGCTTCCCTTTCTTGTAGATGGACAGGAGTGAGTTCCAGCAGGATTCAGTGCTTAAACAACTGGAGGTGCTCAAGGAGGAAGAGAAGGAGTTTCAGAATTTGAAGGTAATTTCAAGATTACAGGATTCAGCTTTACTCATACAGATTAGCAAAGTAAGGATTAATTTTCCCAGGGATTGTCTGAATCTGCCAGGGGTGTATGGGGGATGTTTATTGCTGTATAAAGCAAATTAAGCCAGAGAAAATAGATTTCAGCAGCAAAGCACCATTGTGATCAATTCTACTGTCTGAAAAATAAAAATGATTTACACAGTTGTAGCCTTGTTTAGTTGTAAAAATCAGCAAAGAAAACAAAGTCAGATGAGATTGACCTAGCAAAAGTCAAAGACTTTCAGAATACAATGGGGACATTGTGGGGAAATTTCACCTCCTCTGAACTTGTTGCAGATCAGCTTAAGCTATATCCTCAATAGCATTCTAATTTGGTTTTGTAACAAGATACTAAATTGGCCCTAAAGCAGTGACCTGGGTTGATAGGTTACTGTTTTGTTCAATGAGAGCACAAGCAATGAACCCAACCAGGATTACAAGGGACACTTTAAGCAGAGGAAATTATCAGGGATACTCCAAATCCAGTTTAGGCATCATAAATAGCAAAGGCAACACTGAACCGTTTGAACAGCAGATATAAAGCATACTTGACTAAGTTTCAAAAGTGCAAGTCCAGCATTTGACTACCTTTCACTCAAGATTTTCATGCCGAAAGACTCCACCCAAACTAAGCTTATGTTCATTAACTCTTTTGGAGTAAGGTCTACTGAGGAGAAATTTCTGATTCATGAGAAGGCTTCCATTCCCAAGGACCCAGCCTGTGTTGCTAAAATCACCATCCTACCACTTGTTAGGGATGCTGTGTTCATGGGTGTTGAAGCTGTGGGATATCTGGAGGATAGGTCCAAGGAGTGCAAATTCCAAGAAAATTGAAGGACTCAGTCCTGTCCCTAACCACTTAGCTGGTTCTGAGACCTCAGGAGAAAGACCCATGGATTCATACTTCAGCTCTTCTTCATAGGAAGAGAAAAGAATACTCTTTTCTCTTCATTTGATAGTCAAGGCTTCATTTGATGGTCATAATACTTGCAGGCTACAGCTATCTCCTTCAATGAAAAAAAAAGTTGCCACTTCTGCATCTCTTCAACTTTGTGTTTTAAAGGGAGATGCATGAATATGCACTCAAGTTGCACAATTGGTACAGTGATCCATTTGTATTGTAAATCACGGTATCGTTGAGCAGCAGAGCCTCAACGTAGTTCTTTGGCACCACAATGTTTGCTATCCTTTCATCCAGAATCAGACACAACTTAAGCCTCCCTTGCTTTTTATATTGAGTTATTACTCTTTACCCACTCTCAGTTTAGCCCTTCATCATTGTTATGCTATATGTTTTTAGTTTTTATGTATAGAGTTTGTTTTTATAGCTTGACTTTTTAATTAATTAATTAATTTTAATTAATTAAATGTGGTATTTATTTTTAATTGTTTGTGGGTTTTGTTTTAATTGTGAGCTGCCCAGAGTCACCCATTGGGGGAGATGGGCAGCATATGAAAGGCAGGCAGGCAGGCAGGCAGGCAGCTAGGTAGGTACGTACGTATTGGTGCTGAGTCAATCCTGGGCAGTGCTCCCACCTGAACTTCATGTCAGCTCCTGTTCAAAGAGTGGGGAAAGCAGCCGCCGCAGCCGCCGCCGCAGCAGCAGCAGCCTTGAGCTGATTCATTATGTTAGTCTACCCACCTCAGTATTGTTTACTGAAGTTTCCTTCTTTCTGGTATAACCTAAAATATCCAGCAAGCAATTCCCATGATGCCCATTCAATATGATAATTATCCATGATGAGTGAGAATTATGAGGGTGATAATCCACATTTGACATGCCCAGCATTTCAGATCTGAATCTGTTAGACTTTGAGATGGTGGAAATGTAATTTGGGACATTCTGGGTACAAAGCATGCCTTTTACTACAGTGCAACAGTACTTCTCCGTAACTTTACAAAGGTGGATGTTTTGGTGGCAAAAGCCCCAAGGAACACATTTTATCTCTACTCAGCCAGCCCTGTCATTCAGTCAAAAATCTGCTTCCCTTTGGGGTCAATCTCCCTCTGCAATTACAAGGTTCCAAATCCCTCTGGATGGCAGAGTCTTTAAGTCCCCCCTTCTTTAATGAAGCTCTTTCCGCGCAATTTCTCTTGCATGCACACAAGGAAGTCGAGCTTCCAAAAGCTGGTTCTCTCCTTTGAAACATGAAGGCCTTTATCTTCAAGCGAAGACCTTGCCATCTAGCATTCTCCTGCCATGAAACAAATCCCAAGACGATCGTTGCAGGTTTATTATTATTTTTTTTCCAAAGGAGCTGCATTTCCCTTCATTCCTTCTAAGTGAAAGATGGAAGGAAAAAAGAGGTGGTGGGATTAATTGATTAATTAATTAATAGGAAGTGGCAACACTTTGTCTGAATAGTTTCCATGGTAATAGAAGCACTGTCTTCATCTCTGTGGGAGAAGGCTACAGCTTTCCTTACCAGATTTCCAACTGGGCTAAAGTTATGTCCAATGAAAGGAAAGAACAATGCATTAAGAAAAGGGGCGGGGGGGAGAGAGAAAACATAGCAGAATGGCAGGCTGATGTATAGGGCAGATGAATTTGTTATGCTGTTGAAAACTCCAGCATGAAGACTAATCTTCAGAGACAATTGTGGCTCTTCAACATGTTCCACATTAGAGACCTGGAGAGCTCTTCATAGTCTACTCCCAAGTGACATCTAGCAAGTTCTGCCACATTATTAAAAAAATCTTCCTCCTTGTAGGTTTTGTCCATTTTACTGGCTTGGCTTCTGCAGTGCAGGAGGAGGAGAATAGGTGAATGAGTGATTAATATATCAGCTTCCCCAAATCTGTTTACATAGGATTTGACAGCCCATGTGGCGTTGACCAAGTGGAGGACATCATCCATTACATTTGCTACTGCCCTATCTATGATTAAATTAAGGGGGAAATACAGATGATAAACAGACTTAAGACATCAGACGCTGAACAACTAAATTATCTCCTGACGGATCTGATTCCAGCTATTAGTGTCAGGCTACTTTCTCTGCTATGGTTTCTTTTAAATTTAGAAAGAAATTTCTAATAAAATTCTTAATTTTAATACTGGTTCTACTTTAACTTGACTCCGTTTTCCTTTTTGTTATTTTTTCCTCTTATTTTTTTATTTTCATTTTTAAATTGTTATTATGGTCTAGGCTCACACCAATAAACTGATGGATTGATGGATAGTATTTGACTGAAGGAATAAAGCACATAAGACGTCTTTTGCAGAGACGTCTTTAATTCACCATGCCTCCCCCAGAAATCCCCCCAGCCCGTATGTTAAAAAGCACGGTATCTCTTAAAAACTTCTCCATCAGTTGTGTCTATCTGCATTTGATGGAGTAGAGATGATTTTAAAAAATCAGCAAAAATAAATTTGAAAACCTGAGAATCTCCATTTGTAAGTGTAGAAATTCCAAGTGTTTACAAAGTAGACATTCTAATTATTTGCAATTACAAAGGGAAAAGTGAAAAATTCTCATTCACTGTAATTCACCTCTATAACCCCATGGCTTCCCATGTGGCAGTCCTTGTATTTATCAGGTGGACCAATGATTGCTATTAAACATACATATACACGCATTAACAAGTGTGTTTGATGTGTTTCTAAGTGTTTGATGTTCATATTTTGTACTTTTGTTGTTTCTCAAATATGGGGATGTGAAAGAGTAAGTACAACCATGTATTGAAATGGGATTATATTGCTAAATGCAAAGCTACGTAGGTGAATTTCACACAATGATTCCAAATAAAAACTGAAATGTTTTGCCATGAAAAAAGAAAGCTCTCCAGGTCCTGTGCAGTTATTTATTCTCATAAAAGACATCACAGCCCCCATAATATGCATGGCGAATTAAACATATAATCACAGAAAAGCAGAATTTCTACTATATGAAATTATATAGTTGTAAATTATACCAATACTTCCAGTGGCAGGCTAGAAATGTTTAACCAATCATGATCCATTTCCACTGAAAATCAGCTGTGCTTCCATATATTTTTGACCTGGTCCATTTATACCAACTTCTCATTTCAAATTACAGGTAATAAATACCTTTGCAGATTCTTATTTCACTTACTTCTACATTCTGCCCTGTAGAATGGCTGCCTACATACTCATGTGAAATATTGCACGAATGCACAACGTCCCTTCCTATCACATGAGCAATGATAATAAAATCATAGTGACATTTCTAAGATGAATCCGAAGTGTCCAGGCCAGACAGTGGCAGCTCCATGTGACTGAAGCCTACCTACAATTTCAAAACTTAAATTCTGTATTTACAAAGTTCCTAATTTCAGTCCATTCAAGATGGCATGCCGCTGCCCGCTCTACACAAGTTGCACTGCTCATTCTGAATGGAAAAAATATCACGTATGTAGCTGTATCTATGCAAGGAACAACTAATTAAAAGTTACATTTCTCATCTCTTTCCCTATGGGAAAAAAAGTTTGCTCGAAACTTTCTTTTGAATGGTGAACAATTAAGCTTTCCTGTTACACCATGTGGCACCTATCCTAATGCCAGAATCCAAAATACAACCAGGGACCAAGAAATAACATCTTTTCCTGTTTTTTCCAGGACCCCACGAATGGTTATTACAGTGTGAACACCTTCAAGGACCACCACTCCACTCCCACCATTTCTCTCTCAGGTTGCCAGCCAGATTTGAGGCCAGCCAACAAGCAGCGTGTGCCAACAGGCATGTCCTTCACCAACATCTACACAACCCTGAGTGGGCAGAACCGTCTCTATGACTACAGCCAGCGCTTCATCTTAGGCATGGGGAGCAGTTCCATCGAGCTGTGTGAACGGGAATTCCAGCGGGGTTCCATGAGCGACAGCAGCTCTTTCCTCGACACGCAGTGCGATAGCAGCGTCAGCAGCAGCGGGAAGCAAGATGGCTACGTACAGTTTGACAAGGCCAGCAAAGCTTCAGCCTCATCTTCCCACCATTCACAGTCCTCCTCTCAAAACTCAGACCCTACTCGGCCCCTGCAAAGGAGGATGCAGACCCACGTGTGAAAGGGCAGGACAAAACTGGAAATGGAAGAGATGGGGAGGGAAAGCAGGATAGGATACACTGAGAAGCAGGACAAGAGACCACCTGAGCTGAATCCTGGCCCTGCTGAAGTCAGCCAATCCTGGGGGGACAGAGGCGGTTTGACAAGTTTATTTGTGTTCTAGTGACCTTTAGCTCCCCAAAGCACGTCTCCCCTTCTCTAGAGTAAAAGTTAGTGCAAGGTGAAGGGAGCTAGGCTGAGCCTTGAATCGCAGATAGAACTGTTCAAAGAGACCTATGCCTTCTTTCCTAGACCTGTTGACTCCCTTAAACAAGGGGGAAGGACCCATGACAGCTGAACCCAAACTAACGTTAAGCACAAATGTCCATTTCCTTCCTGTAGCAAACCAGGCGTGGGGGGATGGGAACCAAGAAACGCAAAAGGACAGATAACTTATTTGGGAAATCTAAGTTAAAACAAATCCCTCAGCCCCTTCTTTTAGGGAGGACAGGCTTCTAAACTCAACTGTGCAGGAGTACCAACATCCATGGCATTCAGTGGGAGGCTAAGCGTCCTTGCCTTCCTTCCAAATAAGGTGCTCTCCCTAGCCACTGCAGATTTGGAGGTAGCTCTGACCATCCATAACTGACCAGCAATTTGTATTTCCCAGTTCATCCAAGTGGCGCAGGGAAGACATCTAGGCTATCTTTCACTGGCATATCCTCTACTGTTGGTCGCTCCATGAAGACAGAAAGACTGATGCTTCTAGAGTCTTTTATTCTTTCCACTTCCTATTCCTTAGTGACATCCATTCCTGTCTGTGAACATTTCGGAGAAGGTGCATCTTCAAAGCTGTCACGTGCACCAGCAAAACTGCCCTCCCTACTGCTTAGCCTCATTTGCAAATTATAATGGGGGGGGGGGACTGTGTTCTTCAAAGCAACCTCAAACAATGTGGCTTAATTTAAGGAAGTTCGGTGTGAGGGGGAGGGGAATAGCCATTGGTGTAACAATGTGCACTGACTGCTAATCCTGGTCTTTTATTATTTTTAATTATTTTTATTTTGTTTGGTGTTTAGTGTTTATCATATTACAGTGTGTCTTTGGACTAAAAAAAAAATGGAGTTGAGAACTTTTAAGAGTGGCTTCTCAGCAAAACACCCAGATATGCCTATAGCCCATCCATCATACTCTGATTTTGATTAAGAGGAACTGTTGGTGGAGGGAAGACTGAACTCATATTTTGAGTGACGTGTGACAATCACAGCAGAGACCCTTCCAAAGTGGGCTACTGCTGCGAGGGAACATAAAACATTTCTTACTTCTGCTTGTGTATTCCTTGCCCTCCCTTCCTGTTCTTCCCCCAACAGCACAACTGCAAGATTAATACAAGAATTGTTACAAGCACCATTGCAGTGGGCTCCTTTGAAAACTAGTCTGATTAAACAACTCTACTCCGAAAGAGAAATTACACATAGCATTTAGCACAAGCAACATAGGCACAGTGTGACTTCTTATCTTCTCAATTCAGTGCTTAGTCTGTGACAAAAATGCAAAAGTTTTCCAAGAAAAAGTCAGGAACTCCTACCCATTTCTTCTAACATTGGGAATCAGCTTTAGGGATGATTCTGTCAAAGCAAATTACTCCATAGCTTCTGTCATAGAGTGGGTGACAAAGAGAGGCTAAACTTGCAAAATGTACATATATGACATCTTCCTAAGCACCATGCACTGGTGGTTTGAGTTATTGACTTCATTTGATCTTAGCAGCTTATAACATCCATTTTTACAAAATAATAAAACATCCCCTGTGTAAACAATAAACCCAAAATATGAATAGATGAAATCTAGCAGGCATAATGCTGTAACAGATGAATCCAACTCTTATCAATTTATGTGTGCATTTTTCTCACGCAGTTTACTCACGAATGCCTGTTAGATCTTACAAGCTATTCAGATCAGAATCCTATGTCAAGCTGGTCTGGCTAGGGAAAGCTACCAAAATCACACTTCGAGACAAAATTTGACTCATGCGAGGACCTAAATACACCACTCCCAAGAAAAAGGAATCTGTGGCTCTAAAAAACAAGCCAACTTTCTCTGGAGAAGGGGTGGGTAGGGAAGCAAGAGGTTGGTATCCTAAACCAGAATCGTTGGGGACCAACCTAATGCACATTATGGATCAGGAAAAATGGTGTCTTGTATCTTCATGACCATTGTATAGAGGCTTGCATAGCATTGTGGGATTTTTCCTTTTTTATTTTGAACTTCAGGAGCTGCCTTGGTTGAGGACTGTAGCTACAGTTGTGTCCATGTGATGGTTCTTTTCTAACCTCACCAGCAGAAATCTTTCCACATTTAACAAACCACAGTCTTTTCTAACCCAGCCAGTGGAAGCCATGAAGAGGAGACTTTTTGTACACAAATACATTTTGCCTGTAACGTGTGCCCTGTCATTGAACTATAACTTGTCACCCACTTAAAGCTCATCACCTACATTTCATATAAAGCATGGAATTGCAAAATTAGCACCCAAGAATTTCAAGGTCTCTAATTTTTAGTTAGATCCTAAGAATTACCCAGCTCATAGGGGTTTTCACAGCATAGGGAGGAAGGGGTAACCTTCAGGGCTTCCAGCCACCCTTGGGCATTCTCAGTACAGTCAGCTAACTACAGTAGTCATTAAATGCTTCATCAGTCAAGGTATCTTCTGTTTCATCAGACCAGCAAGCCATGGTTTCAGTCGCTCAGATGTGTTTCAGTTTCTAACCAAGGAGCTGGTGAGCGATTTGGGTGGTGGTGGTGGTTTAGGAAATCCTTGGAAACTGTCTTTAACTATTTGCACTGCCAGCTTTGCAGAGTGAACAAGAAACAAGTTGAATATTATACTCAGTTAAAACAAACCAAAAAAGGTAATTTCTTATTGTTTTGGAAATAAAAAAAAAAAAAAGCTTTTGGGAAACACAGGCTACATCTGCCACCTACTGGCCATGTCCTAGAACTGCAACACCTAACTTGTTTTAGGGAACCCTCTAGCTGAAAGCCTGTTGAATGACCCTCACCATTCAGCATCGCAGATAATATATGAAGCTTGATTAATATGAACATACTTGGCAAGTGATCACACCTCACAAACAGTTAATGATTTGTTCAGAGACCCAGCTGCTTGGCAGCATTTTTACTTTTTTATTTTATTTTGTTGAGTTTACTGTCTGAAGCAAGAACTTCGTCAACCATCTGTTCATTAATATGTAACAAGCAACAGTGATAGGCAATTAAACTGGCTGCAAATTAACACATTGGCTTGGGGATCAGCCTTTGGAGGGCTTATGTGTTTCACTAAACCTTGAATTCATCAGGAAGCCAGAGAAATGATGTGCGCTGTGTTCACAACGTGGCTGAAGGGCCTTTCTCAGAAGCAGGGAGAGATGGCACCACTATAGCAAGATAATAGTGTTTTTTTTTTTAACTATACTGGTTTTGCAAAGGCAGATGTGTTTTCATGAAATTCATGAGCAATAGCTCTATTGTGCATCCCATTCTTTCCATAAGTAACATTTACAAGGCCAAATTGCTTAGGGATGAAAAAGCATTAGAGACAATTTGCCAAAACCTGATGACTGAACAGGTAGTAACAAGGGAGCAGCCAGCCCCAGTGGAACCATCCTTTTAGCCCAGAGACACAGGTGAGTTGTGTGTCTTCCTTTCTAACAGGTGGGCAAAAGTTGCTTTAGGAGATGCCTTTAATAGGTTCTTGTGCTTCCTGGGCTATCCATTTCAACAGCAGCTGGAAAGATGTGGTTCTAAGAAGTCATGGCTCTCTGCTGATAACTACTCTGATCCAGTGGATAGAGAACAACCTTTCGAGTGGTTCTTTGCCCAGAACTGATGTGTTCAAAGTTGGGGCCTGAGTGTCAAGAAGGATCTGCCTAAAGTGGGAACAGCTGTACAAAACACACTAATAGGAGTTGCCTTTTTTTCATTCAGTCACTTGCCCCCTTTATGTTTTGCTTCTCCTTCTGTGTGTAGAGACCTAATTCTGCCTGGCCTAGGCTCAGCCCTTCCTTATCAGTCAACTATGCGTACCTTGCTTCAAGACCTTGAAGTGGCATTCAAGTAAACCTCTTTTGCTGTCCTGTGACAAGGCCATCTGAGAATAAAGAAGCTAGGTCACTCGGCACTGTTCAGCTTTCCCCAGACTGGGGAACAGGCAGGGTGTCTACAGCAGGGAGGGGTGTCAAAAATGGGGTGATGGTGGCCCCAAACATGTGATTTTTATTTGGCCTTCAGTTGTATGGTTGGGGCTGCCATTTTGACTTTATTGACACACACACACACCATGGACCCCTTTGGAAGCAGGGGGCTCCAGAAAACCACTCCTCTCCCCAACACAGATCAGTCCCAAGAAAACTCCATAGGAGTAAATGGCAGCTGAGCTGCACTGCAGCTAAGAAGAGCACCTCCTAAAAGCAGTAGAGTTCATCTTCAACATGAGACACACTGGTAGAGATGAGATACTGGAAGGAGGGAAGCAAAGCAAGAGGAAAGAAAAGGGGTTTCTGCCCAGGTGCTCAGTGCCAGCCCTTTAAGCCAGGTCAGAATCCCCACTCCACAAGAAATACCAGAGCTCTACTTTATCAGTTTAGGCTACAACAGAATCTTGAAAACCTAACAGAGTTTCTTTCCCCTCCCTCCCCACATGTACCAAAGTCAAGGCAGGCCAATCCTGAGTCTCCTTCTCACCCTTTTCTGTTTTCCAGGGTTAAGCGCAGGTTTTAGTAATGGTTTCTGCCAATGTTTTTTTTTTCTCTTTCTCAAGACCATCTTGGTCCTCCTTGATACCAAGCCAGAAGTTTCACAAAAGAGACCTTAGAAGAGACAATATGCAACCTCTTCCCCTCCTTTTTTGGGGGGGGGGGTACTCAAGTGCTGTCTGTGTAATCTTACAGGACAAGAGCTGGCAAGGTAGCTACAATATTTAGTTTCACACTGTGTACTAAATACACACACACACACAAGACCCAAAACATGGCGAGGGAGTATTAGTGTATTATTCTGAAATAAGGCCTCATAAACTCAGGTGTTTGCTAGCCGTATGGAAGTGTGGCATGTCATAAAAATGCTTAAAGTGTGTGTGTGTCCCAGTTTGTTTATCGAGATCCAACACTTTGTTTGCTGGTAGCATTTCAGAACTTGTTACTCTGGTTTTCCATCCAGTTAGCGGCCTACCCCATTGCCACAGGATTTGTTAAAATCCAGTGGAGGTCTTTCATCTGTGATATGCAAGAAAAAAAGAGCAAATACATTTGTCCTAAAAGTGGTAAAAAAGGAATTAACCACATGCCTGTTTTAGTCCATTTTCCACTGTGGTCCTCTCTGAGTGAGAATCATGTGGCAGGTAGACAGATTTGTCCTAGGCACAGAAGAAAGGCATATTAAACTGGCACACCTTTAGGACAACAACTAACAAGAATTCTGCCACAAAATTCCAGGGCCATAAAAAATAAACATCTTATGGGAGCAAAATGTTCCTTCTCTAGTAATGATCATAATACTTCCAAAACCCATAAATACAAAAATGTATTTTTTGCATCATATCCAGGGAAATGAGAGAGAGAAGTCTGAACGTATCTTAGCTGTTCTTGGAAAATTTGAGAGCAGGTCAGGGTGGGTTGATTAGATTCAAAGGTTAGGATCAGGGAGTTGTGACTGTAAATTCCTGCTCACTAACAATTCACAGGGAGACTTTTTCCCTAGCAAGTATCAGCTGAACCTGCTTGAAAGGATTGTTCAAGTTGCAGTTGCACTGAACTCCTGGAGAGAAATAAATAAAACATATCAACAAATAAAACATAAATAAAACTCACCTTTAGATACAAGTAGTTATAGAAAGTAGTGCTACTTAACCAAGTAAGTCCTGATGCAAAGATATCTTTCAGCTGGAGAAACAATCCCACTGTTGACTTCATCAGGTTAAGGATCTGATTCATAATTTGAAAAGTGCATCGCCCATGTGCATACAATCCATGTGTGCATACAATCCATGTTTACCTATTTACTGTCTTCCTTAATAATCCCTAGCATTTACAGAAGGTAGGAAATGCCTTGCCTCTGTTCAACTGCTTTGGACTACAGGATCTATACCCCCCAGCCATGAGCGATTTGGGAGTCATTAGACAAAACATCCCAAGATTGACCAGGCCCTGTAGAAGGATGGAACACATCTACATCCTCTCATAAGTAATTTCCTACAACCTTGTAAGATAGGCTAATATTAGTACCGTTGTATCCCAGCTATGGGCCAAATGAAATTAACTTAAGCAGCTCATCCCCCAAGGGTGAGATCTGACGTGTGTGAAGACTCAAAGGTTGATAGATCAGCCTCTTACCTTACAGCAGTGTTTCTCAACCTTGACCACTTTAATAGGTGTAGACTTCAACTCCCAGAATTCCCTAACCAGTGTGTTGTCTGGGGAATTCTGGGAGTTGAAGTCCACACATCTTAAAGTGGACAAGATTGAGAAACACTGCCTTAGAGTTTTCGCTCTTTCTTTGCTCTGTTTAGTAGGTATCTAGGATCTATCAACCAGGTATAGTAGTCCTATTTATCAACTATGCAATGTGGTTTCAGCAAAAACAAAATTAGCCTTCCACAAGGCCTTTGAGAAACAGCTGCTTAAGCTCCTTTCTTTTATGCATTTTATGGTATTTATCAGCTAGTAGAAACCAGCAAGGTCTTTAATTAGGAGTGTCCTGTATGGAGTGTCTTTAATTAGGTTCATCAGTGTCCTGTAAAAAAACCAAGAACATTCCTTCTTTAATAGTGAAGCAATATTATAAAAGTAATTAAAATAATCACCTCCTCTGCTGAGTTTAAATTAAAAAAAAATTGGCTTAATTGAATAACCCTCCATTTACAAGCAAAAGAACAGAAATGGAAAGAAGTGGAGAGTCATGATTTTACAGCACCAAACACCTCTTTAAAGAGGGTACCAGTAGCCTTGACTTCATCTCCAGGGTTCAGCTCCATCAGCACTGATTCTCTTGTCCTTCATCAGTTTCTTCTTTATGAGTTTAGACTTTCTTAAAACGGATCCCGCCGAAAAGAGCAGTTTCACAAGGCATTGGGTTAGTCACAAGAAAACAGATTGGCTACACACCACAATCCCTTTCCAAAAAAGACTGAAAGGATATGAAGGGAGACACCAAATGACAACATCACAAGAACAGAATGTGAAAAATGTGAATTGGCTCCAAGCGGCAAACATTTATAACTTCTTTCTAGGCTGCAGTAATATGTGAAGTTGCCAAGCTGAATATTCTAATAGATTCTCTGTATATTCAGCTTGTTTTGGCCAGTTACTTAACACAGCTTTCCCTCACTAGAGACCAGTAATTTTTTCAGATGATTTCCTCCTAGGAAGCTTCAAGTAGATCCAACCAAGAGTTCCCCTGATTGTTCTAGCATCATAACGAGCAGGGCTTTGTTCCATCATTTTCTGCTTGCTTCCCTACAACTTCAACATAGAAAAAGAAAACATTGCTTCTTCCCTGCCTGGATCTGGAAAGAT